TCTCTCCTGAGGATGCTGCCGCCGGGAACTCGAGCCTGAGCGTTCAGGCAGGAGCCTGAGCAACGAATTCTGCAGATAAACTTCTGCAAGGAATTCTGAAGCGGGGTCCACAATCACACGTCTTCGCTTTTCGATCTCAGTCATTTACATGATGATGGAGAAATCTCAAGTCTTTTTCTCAACCCCCACGTGCTAATCCCGGGACCATCCAAAGCACACTCATAGCAGCCTGGCAAATGCCCACTCACCATCTTCCTCATGGAGAAGTCCCATGTGCGCATGCGCCTCGGCTTCCTTCTTCCCACCGTCAATCTTGATCTGCTGTGCAATCTTAAAACATCGCTCATAAAAGTGGTTTCTTACCCACTTGTCTTCAGAATTATTGAAGTAACAGGCCAGAGCATACAAGTTGTTATATACATCTTCAAAGTGTTCTTCAAAGAGAGAAAAGCATCATACACTATATTAGAAAAATATCTCAGGACACATCCTTTCAAATGGCAAACAGGTATCATGACACAAATTTCCCATTTTTTCTAAATGCAAAATTTAATTTACTTAATTTACCTAATTTATTTAATTTACTTAATTTACAGTCGAATAACTGTATAATTAAAGGATGCACAGATGAGTAAAGCAACAAATTTCTGGAAACTTACATCAGAAATTGACTTTTTGGTTAAAACAGAAGACTTTATGGGAGCTCTATTCGCATATGTTCAGATCTTTTGAAAGAAAGGAATATGCGGTATCATTGAGTACTATTGCCATTGAAAGTTTGAAAAGTATTTGATGATTCCAGAGAAAGCAATGTTTCTTAACCATAGCAAAAGATACTGTAGATGAAGAAAGTAGAAAGGACATGGGGGAAAAAGTCATAGGGCTGATGGATACAAGAAATGATGATCAGGGTGATCCTGTGAGCTCCATACACTTTCTAGCAATATTTCTAACAATACACGTTTCTAGAAATGTCAAGAAAGAGTAAACTATTATGCTCTGTTTTCCATGAGTATTTTTTTCTACTGAAAAATGCATAAATACTAGTCATTCCTTTTACTCAAAGTTATTATTTAAACTCTTGTAGGTTGTTTTTCCTAAAGGGTATCTAACCTATATATACAAAAAAAAATGTTAACAAATCATGAATGAGTTTTATAAACCCCACTGCAATAGTAGACTTGAACAAAAATTTTGTGTTAATGAATTTAAGCCTCAGTCCTGTAAACTCAAAGCTAGTGGTAAATATGAATAAATTCATAATCTTGATGTCCTTTTGCATTTATGCTGAAAACACTGTTGTAAATGTGTGTTGGCACCTGGGTTACCCTTCCAGTAATTTTGTAATAATAACCATTATCTATCAGAATTCACTGATACTACTAATTCATTATTACCAGGAGAGTCAACCCATATATTCTTGAAGGGATTGTAATGATAAAAAATAATGCCCACTAGCATACCTATCGGGTTAAAACCAAAAGTCTCAGAAAAAAATGAAACAGGTTGATTACAACAAAAGGCAGCTTTCAAGGACCATAAATAAGTTACTTTGTAAATAGATCACAAAGAAATTTCTAAAACCTATGCTATTCCTTTACATATACATAATACTTGTTCAGCATTCCACAGAAGATTAAGATTTATCTCAAAATAAATTTCTTTCTCAGAAAACAAAGTAAGAGGAAAAAAGATCTTTCCATCTTTGAAGGAGCTGGGATGTTTGGAAGTAATTCTGCTTTTTGAGGGGATTCACAATAGGCAGAAGGTTAAGTGAAAAGTAGAGAGTCATCTTAGGTATTTATTTAAAACACATATTCTCACCTCAGCGCCAACTTCTGTGTGCTTTCTCTCTACTCAGAACCTCCTACCTAATGTGAATGGGGGCTCCAAAGTCTGTTTTGTAATAATTCATATTCTTGGTCAAATTTTCTGATTAGAGAGTTATTGCTTTTAGAAGACAGTAAGTAAAACATTTCATATTCTCCATTTTAATAAAAAAGCATATATAGAATTTACAAGAAAATATAGTCCTGAAATTACTTTTCAGTAATTAAAGCTTAATATAAAAACATTCCAAACATACATTTCATAAAGTGCTTTTTTTTTAAGGAATGAAGACTATTTATATAAGCTGCCAAGATTCCATGCTTAAAGATGACTTGTCAACTAAGCTGTTTCTCTAGGGGGGAAAAAAAGGAGCTTTTTTTCCCCCCCAGAATATTAAGTATAAAGGAGTATGTTCAAATTTTGAATCTTTGGAAAATCCATATATATGGTCTGAACATCCTATATTCTAAACAGCATTTTCTCCTTGCTAGTAGACCACTTCCTTGAATTGTCAGCAGATATATTCAGAAGATGAAAGTCAATTTTATTGTGGGTTTATCGTTTAGACTGGCATTCATTATGCTTGTTAAAAAGAAGATTTTACAATGAAATAAATTTGACACGTGTTTTGATCATTTCCCTCTTTCAGTGATCCACACAATGTACATCAGCATGTTAAAGTCACTGATAAGTCCTGCAATAAAACAACTTGTTTGACTTCAATGATACCAAATTTATTTCACCAGACAACTTATTTTGTTTTGCTTTGCATAAAATCTAGAAATAGCTGTGAAACTTTGCTTGAGTAGAATATACTTTGCATATCTTTTTAAAATGTCATTTTAAAAATTGTTGCTCAATCCTTGACAATAATTTAAAAGTCAAGTGTAAATAATGTTTGAATTATCTATTGGTTTGGGTACCCATTACCATTATTGCCATTTCCTCCCCAGTCCCTTGGGACTTAAGGCCCTAATCCTAATATTACAGATGGTATAGCAATGATTCACGACAATGAGTAATATAAGAAATGCATCAGTGACAAAGAAACACTGTAACAAATGGAAAATAATCCAAAAAGAAACAACTGGCTTATATTACAGGCACCCTTGCTATAAAACAGCAAGTGATGTGTTGTCAAGTAATGTAAATAACTCTAGGTTACTGCTCTGTAAGTCTCAAGAGACAGAACTGACCTGAGATGACTATTGTTAATGCCATAGCTTTGATTAAATGAACTTCATTGTGACCCTAGAGTGATAGTCTTTCCAAAGAGAAGCAATGAGAATACTCAGATATATGCTATTTCAGGATAATTGTCTCAGACTCCACGACTATATGGGATGGAACCTTAAATACTATTAACAGATTTCTTCATTCTAGACATACATATACATATGCTTTAGGACTTAGGATTAATTCAAGTTAATAAAAGCAAATGTGTATATCCCATTTTCTGGAACATTTCTAATTCAAATCACAATTTCCCCCAATTAAGTGCATACATTGAATGTGAGAAAAATTACAGAAATTTTTGAAAAAAAATACCATATCAGTGTATATGTATCATTCAGCTGGGGTATTTCCAATTTTTTTTACAGTAGTTTTAATTTTCTATATTTCACCAGGCAAAAACCACTGTATTTTGTAGGCGATAAGACAACAGAAAAGATATTCTGGACATGAGGAGCTTTCGTCCCATTTTAGAAACATGATTTTCTTTTTTTCTTGAATATATGATAAACCACTCAGTGAAGAAAATATTTTCTTTTATTACTCTTATCATGTATATAAGACATTGACTATTATAAAGTTGGATTTTGTTAATTTTTGGAATCGAAACATTTTTACTTGTATGTATAGAATAATAAATATTATAAATAAGCATGTTTTCTACCTTAAAATGGACTATTTAGCAATATTAGATTCTTTATAAAGTTAAAAAATGCTTTATGACAAGTTGGCTCATATTTGTGACACCTTATGATAATTTGGCTCACATCTCAAAGGAAAGCCTCAATTTAAAACAATGATTACGATAAAATTCAGTTTAAAAATGATGAATGGGCAAGGATTATCTTCATTAATTCTACTTTCAGTGTAAATACCACTTCAGAATTTTTGGCTGCTACTAAGATGTAGGTTATTTATTTATTTTTTACAATAGCACTTTTCATTTCCAGTAGTTAATGTCCTGAGAAATTATATAAAAATCACATTTTAAAATTCAACGAGACTCTACTTTTTGACAGCCCCGCAGTGAAGTACTTTTCATAATATAAATAGCCATCTTCTATCCCACCCCTGACTCCCCCCACACACACATACACACTACACCTTAGTTCATTTGTTTTCTCATTCACATTTTCGTATATCTCATTTTCTTAAGTCAGGTGACAGCCTGATAGGGAATATGCATTGACTCCACTATCAGACCCCTCCCACGTTGTTTCCATGTCCCCATCAGTCTTCTCCATTGTAGTATCGAGTAACAAAAAGTTGCTAATTTTCTATTTTCCCCTAGGAAGGCCTGACATTAAATATAGGCATTTCCATGCTGTGGATTGAACTTTTCTTTGTGAGTCCTGTGCTATTTTCACCCAAAAAGTTGAAGGAAAGAATAACGTAGAACACCAAGCTTATATGCTGGAAAAAAAAAAGAAAAGAATTTCTTTTCTTTGATTATAGATGACCAGCTAAAATGATGACTAATTCCTACTATGTAACTTAGAAACACTTATGACAACAATATCAACTTCATTATTGTAGACATTAAATTTTTTAAAAATATTTGAAATATATATTAACTTTCTGGAAAATTTTAGAATATGAAAAAGGAATTTATTAGAAATGATATCATGGGAAGTATGATATTAACAATTTTATTCACAATTGTGAATTTCAGGCTTTTCATGTCTTGTTACTAGTCACTGAGAGAAATTCTCCATTGCAAATCAGTAGGACTTCTTGATAAAACCTCCTAAGTCCACTATGTAAGCTCAGGAAAATCAGTGTGATTTTCAAGTTATGGCACTTTTTGAAACTATCCGCTCAGTGAAAGTCAATATTGAGATTACATATAAAGAAAAACTATGGAAAGGTGTATGCTTAATGTTATGAAATATTGCAATCCATTGGAAAGTTCTAGAGATGCTATTAGGTGCTGTTTAGAATGAAGGCTTAGTTTTGGTTTTGAAGATAGGGCTCCAAGCTCTCCTAGCCTGCAGGGTTTCTGTAGATAGATCTGCTGCTATTCTAATTGGTTTTCCATGGTAGGTGATCTGGCCTTTTTCTCTTGCTGCCTTTAGGATTTTTTCTTTTATGCCTACTTTGTTTAGGCGAATTATTATGTGTCTAGGAGTTGGTCTTCTCATTTGTTGTCTTGCAGGGGTTCTCTGAATCTCTTGTGTTTGAATTTTTGCATCATTGATTAGATAAGGGAAGTTGATACCACCAACTCCAGTCAGAATGGCAATTATCAATAACTCAAAAAATAACAGTTGTTGGAAAGGGTGTGGCGAAAAGGGAACACTTCTACACTGTTGGTGGGAGTGTAAGCTAGTGCAACCTCTGTGGAAAGCAGTGTGGCGATTCCTAAAAGCTCTAAACATCAACCTCCCATATGACCCTGCAATCCCCCTACTGGGAATATACCTTGAAGAACTCAAATCACTCTATAAAAAAGATACCTGCACACAAATGTTTATCGCAGCATTGTTCACAATAGCAAGAACCTGGAACCAAATATGCTGTCCATCAAAAGAGGACTGGATTTTAAAAATATGGTACATATACATGATGGAATATTATGCAGCCATAAAAAAGAACAAAATCATGAATTTCGCAGCAACCTGGATGAAACTAGAGTTTATAATACTGAGTGACCTCTCACAGAAACAAAGATCTGAGTATCACATGTTCTTACTCATATAGTGGACCTTGATCATCCAACGTACTACCATAAGAAAATGACTGACAGTGGTGGGAAACTATGGGGGTGGGAAGGGGGATGGGACTAATGGTAGTAAACATCTGTCTGGGGACGGGGAGACATCTGTTATCAATTAGGGGGCCTGAATGAAGCATATTTGTATACCTAACCCTTAACTGTACCCCACAATATCATAATAAAAATATTGATTAAAAAAAAAAAGAATGAAGGTTTAAAATGATGTCACCAGATGCTCCTGTATCTGGGCAGTCTCATAATCCAGGGTATCCCTATCCCATAAGCATGCTCAGCTGACCAGGTTGAACTGTGCTAAGTTGTCTCAATGTTTCCAATTCATATGTGAAACCATCTGGAATCTTCCTTGAGGTGCTGGAAGTTCACCTCTCACTTCACCCTGCTACTCACCTCTCCTCTCTGCGGCCTCAGCTCTGGTCAGGTAGTGGTAGAAGTAATCCAGTTTATCAGGCTGTTCTTCCAGCGGTTTCTGCAGCCAAAAGAGGGATCTGACTCTCGCAACCTCCCTCAGGGCATCCCACTGCTCCATGAGGGCAAAGAGCTCTGTGAAGGACTTGTGGTATCCGTCTCGCAGCATATCCACACAGATGTTCTTCATGTACGAGTTCCTATAACTGGGAATAAGAATCAGAGCACTCAAAGCTTGACTTTAATCCTTTCAATCCGTCTGGTGTTTTCAATCTCTAATAATTAAAGATTGACTCATGTTGCCTTTTTTTTCCTCAGTGAAAGAACTGAAAACTATCAAAAGATCTTTGCCTCAAACACTCATAATTGAACAACTTTAGTTTAATGAAAGATGCCAGGAGCTATCTGCATACAGTAATTTTAATGAAATTACATTATAAACATATCAGTTTCAGAGCTGAACTCTCTTTGATAAGGACAAATAAGCTAGTAGACTGACAATATTAAAAATACTTGATACACAAGCCTCCCACCAAAAAACTCCAAAAGAACAAACAAACAGACAAACAAAAATCCAGGAAGCCAAGCAAAAATCGAGCTTGCCATTGAATATGAAAACAATGTACTCTCTACATTAGGTAGTTTCGCTGTGTGTTATAAAAGTTCACCATTCATTCATTTATGCAGAGGATGTTTACTGAAATCTATTAATATATTTTTAAAATTATTTTCAGTTAGAATTAAGTACATGGTTTGGTAGATTAATAATTCTCTTCTAACTTCAATAATAAATGAAATGCAAGGAGATAAAGTAATAAATGAATATTCCATTTATTCACTCAATGAATCACTATTGAGTTTCCTACTAAGTTCCAGGCACTGTTCTAGATCAAACAGGTCTCGTGTCCTTGTGGAGTTTGCATTCTATTGCAAACAACACATAAGTAAGCAAATGATAGAAAATTTCAGATAATGAAAATGTCTTTACAAGAAACAAACAGGATTATGGGGTAACAACTTGTAGTGGCTGTCATTCCACTAACAGAACAATCAGATGCTAAAAGATAAAGCTTTATATGAATTATGTCATATTCCTTTAAAAAAATAGGAGACAAAATATTTAGAACAACTGATATGATGCAACACTACTGCAAATAAAAATTCAGTAGTGGAAACAGCCCCTCCCACTACCCCCAGAACACCAGAGGTTGAGCCCAGTTTTACCTAACCTCCCTGGACCCCATTTCTTCTCATCTCTAAAATGTGTATATTAATATATGCTACCTACATCACAGGATTCTTCTAGCAAGCAAATGAGATTAGGTATGTGAAAATACTCTGGGAAATGTGAAATCCTGCACTGCCGGTTCTCAATTCCTGATTACAAATTGGATTCACCCAGAGAGTTTAAAAACAGAAACAAACAAACAACAAAAAAAAAATATCCAGGCTCCATCGACCAGAATTTATCATCCAGTAGATCAGCTTAGCTTTACCTAAGAGTGGTAAAGAAGGAGGGTGGTGAGATACGAAATTTAGAAAAAAGGCAGGGCCTAGATAATGAAGAGACCTCACGGCGAAGCAAGGCTGAGAGGTTTGGACTCCAAGCTGGAAGGTAGGTAGAGCCTCAGAAAAGTCAGAGTCAGGGAAATGGCATGAGGAGACTGCATTTTAGAAGAGTCATCTGGAAGGAGTGTCCCAGCTGAAGTGCAACCTTGCCCCATCTGGCAGCCAGACCGTTACAGAACTAACTCATAAGGAAAATAAAAAAACCACAATCCTAGATCAAAAGATCAAAAGCCACCATTTACAATGAGACCAAGAAATATTTGAAATGGGCAAGAGAAAAAAAATCGCAGTTTTACTTGTTCCTGTCCTTCAAGTGACAAAGAGGAGGAAAATGGAGGAAGAGGCAATGAGATACTGAGAAGGGTCGCATCCTCTTTCTCCCTCTCACTCCAGTGAGAGGGACAGTAGAGTAAAGTCAACATCCGGGAAAATCTAGTGGGACCCAAGAGTGGAAAAACTTCTGTCCTGCTTTCCCTCTGGGATTCTTGAAGGCAGGAGGGTGACCAACATCCGTTTCTTCCCTCTTCTCTACAAGGGCGTGGAAAAGCAGCAAAAGTCCCTACATAGGACTTCCAGGCAGAAGAGGCCCAGAACCAGCCTGTAACTGTCCATAGCCCCTGAATGGTATAGGAGGAGTGTCATTATTTTCCAGTGGGCTCCATGTGTGACCCAAAAGTTACTGGAGAGGGCATGCTGACATATGCCTGTCATGCTGTCGTCTGACCATAGCAGGGAGATATGTGTTCAAGGCTGATCCTGGATTTCCTATGAGGGACTGAAGGAAGACACTGCTAAAACTCTGAAATGAACAGTCCTGGGAAGCTTCTGAAGAGTTTGGGTCAACATATATCCAGAGGTGATAGAACAAAGATGAACCCAGTATATCAGAGATAGCCATATGTAGAAGATCCCCATACACTAGAAATGCATTTAGCTATAAGTAAGAGAAAATTTGCTCCACGGTGCCTTGGAAAATAGAGGTTTCAATGTTTTGTCTAAAGGTCGGCGGCGAGCTGGGTGTGGTGATGCACACTTGTAGTCCCAGCTGCTTGGGAGGCTGAGGTGGGAGGATCGCTTGAGCCCAGGAAGTTGAGGTTACAGTGAGCTATGATTGGGCCACTGCACTCCAACCTGGTTGACAGAGCCACATCCTGTCTCTAAATAAATACATATATAGAGAGGCAGTGGAGGGCCTTGGTTCAGTGGCCTGGTCAATTCAAGGCCCACATCAATAGGATCTTGCTTGCCCTTGCCCTCCCGCTGCTCCCCTGCCTGTCACTACAGGGTAGCTTCAGTTCTAGTCATCATGTCCACCCTCAAGACAAGAAGGAAAGGGAAAATGGGGTGGCATACGCACGACTTTCCTTATTTGGGGGCAATGCAAAAGCATTTCAACAACCTCTAGCAGATTCCCACTTTCCCATTGGCCAAAACTGTGTCACATCCCTCCGACAACCCCCAACCCCACCTTGCTGCAAAGAGCATAGAAAAATGAATATCTTGCCTTGTCTGCTCTGGGACACATTCCTACCCCAAACAAAACTAGAGTTCTGTTAGCAAAGAGGAAGGAATGGATACTGGACAGGCAAATGCAGAGATAATTACGAGGTCTAGCTCAAGATCTGAAAGTAAGCGCTGTTATACACGCCACAGCCACGCCGAGAGTTGCCAGATAAAATTCAAGACGTCCAGGTACATTTGAAAGGCGGAGAAGCAACAAATGATTTTTTTATTATTAGTATGCCGCCAACATGACATAGGACATGGTTATACTAAAAAATAAAAAGGTTTTTGTTTTTGAACCTCAAGTTCTATATTTTTATTTCCTAAATCTCAGAACTCTACCCCCTACAGCCCCCACAAGGGTAATGCTGTTTCTATATAGGAAAATAGGGCTGAGGGGAAGAGGTTTTAGAATCTTGAACAATCCGAGAAATTGCCAAATTGGACTGATTTTACCTGAGAGTGACAAGATTGAATTTTTTACACTAGGGAGGATCAAGGCTCTGGGCCAGGAATTAAAATTAAGTTATAAAAAAATAAAGACTTTCAATTTAACATTCTTGAGTCTGTGACTCTGAAATTCACACCTGATCCCAGAGAAGGGATGGGAGGAGGGTAAAACTGAGAGCAGGGAGAACAGACTCTTGGTCATGGAAGGGGAGGCCCTGGGGCTGGAACCGGGGTCAAGGCGGAAGGCTGGAGAGAAGTAGGTAAATTCAAAATATATTTAGGAGACAAAATATTGATGATCTGGTGACTCCATGGATATTGGGGGTGAAGAAATGAGAAGAAATGGAATGACAGCCAGATTTTTGGAATGAGGAATGGGTAATTTGTAACTTGCTAAAGAGGGGAACACAAAAGGGGGAACGTTCATGAGCTTGGGTTCAGATAACCTGAGTTTGAAGAGCCTGAGGAACATCCAAGTGGTAACCCAGAAGGAGTCTGGGGTGGCATAGGAGGCCTTCAAGGACAAGGGCCTGGGAATCCAATTTTGCTTTAAACAAGCAGTGCCAACTTGTGTGTCAGCTGCCAGCATGTCTTCCTATCAGTGAAGAAAGGGTTCTGGAGCAAAAATAAAGAAGATCATAAATAGACAAAAATTAAAACCTTGACCTTAAACAATACAGGTGGATTCTTGGGAGGCCATTTCAGTTCTAATCCCACCTGGGACAGAAATCCAGAAAAATCACTATCTGGGTCTTCTCTTCCTCATGTGGAAGATGGAGGAGCTTTTATTGCATTTGGTCCATCCAGCATCTAGCTCTACTTCCACTGGGGGCAACACTCCAAAAGTATTTTTTGCAAATAACCAGTCCCGCGTTGTGCATAGTCTGGGTAGGACAGAATTTCAAGGACTCCTTAGCCAAGGAGTGGGTTATTGACCCAAATCAGGTCAACTAGTCTCTCTGCCAGAATTTTGAAACCTTGAGGCAAGCAACACAAGGGTGTAGACAGTTGTTGAATTGTTAATCCCTCTGGCAGCAGCATCTTAACAAGCTTGAGAAGTTTTTGATAGCAGTTCTTGCTATCTAGATCCATTCAAGGGTCCTGGGTCTTGTCCTTTTCTTCTGAGCCAGGTTCTCCTTTAAATTCCACTAGTTACCTAATATCCTTTCAACAAACTCATTTCCACTTAATTTAGTCAGAGTCAGTTTCTGCTGCTGCAACCAAAGAACACTAAGTGATTCAGAAGGGATGGGGTGACTATTATTTCCAAGCCCTCTTTCAGCCTCAAAACATCCATGATATATAACTAATATCAATTTTTAATATTTCTAGTAAATTTTTTAAAAAGATGATTCTCTACAGAAGATATTACAAATAGAAATGTATTTAAATATGTATATATAACTATGCTGATATCTCTATTTTATACACACACGTGTGTGTGCACATACACATTAATACAAGTCTGCCATTGTTTAAGCCTCATTTCTGATATTTGAAAGCAAGAAAGAACAATTACAGTGATTTCCTATTTAAACCTTCATAATTAATGAAAATTATGTCTTTTAATCAAAAAATCTGTACTTATTAAAATGAACTGACTTTTTTTTTAAAGTATATCAGTTTCCACCATGATACTTGAATTTCTTAGGTCTTGTATTTCATAGCAGAGGACCATGACCAA